TATATATATTTTTTTTTTAATTTATTTAGTTATAAATATAAAAGTTAAAATTTGTAAATATACACGCAAATGTGTGTAACGTATAGCGGGTATAGCGTATCGTCGATTTGTCAACTCGAGACTCGGCACTCGGCGAGACACGAGACGCGATACTCAAAATGCGTGGCATCGTGGACATCGTGGTATAGCCGGCCCGTGCAAAGTGGCAACGTCACAGCTCAAGAGAGACAGCAGATCGTATGTCATCTGTCCTTCTCTCCCCGCTCGAAGCTTGCCAAGTGCCTAGCGTACACGGACAGAGGGGCTTCCGCGACCAGCATATCCCTCTCCATCTGAGTAGTTCGGACACGAACCATAGCATGGATACAAACCCATGTATCGTTACCCGAGTCTTCTCTGATCGTTACCGAGCGTAACGCCGTAGTTGACGTCCACTTTCTCAGAGGGTAGATTAGGACAGACGTCCTCCGAAGCCGGATGGCCGCTCTCAGGTTTCTCTCTGGTATGCACGCATGAGAATCAAAAATTAATTTTTTTAACGTTGACAGCCTTGCATTCGGAGCTTCGAGCTTCCACTACGTGAAGTCTCTAAGATCAATTCAGAGTTAGCCCAAGTTAGTTTGTTATACTGACAGCAATAATTATGATTTAATTATGTTGTCATAGAAAGAGAGAAATAGTTACGTTACAAGAACGTGATATTTGTTTGACATGTCGATTGATCATAGTGGCAAAGGTTATACTCCTCTTCCACAAAGTATAAGCAATACCGATACCGAGGATGAGGAGGAACGTTTAACCCGACCTAACGATATTGTTTACAAGGTCGACAATACTACGATAGCGGTGAGACAGTATATATTACACGATAATTATTATTAGTGTGTGTAAAATATAGTACGGCAATGCACACGTTAATAAAATTGGTAATTATGAAGGAGAGGGACTTTCTCACCGCAGCACCGAAATATTTCAGAAAGCTTTCAAAAAGCTGTCAATAAAATATGAAACCTTTCAAAAAAACATTTCAGACGTGTTTCAGATATGTTTCAAAAATATAAAATGTCCGCCAAGCTGAGATTTCAGAAATGTTTCTGAAATCTCAGAAATATTTCTGAAATAATTCTGAAATGCTCTTCAGAAATATTTCTGAAATGCTTAAGAAATATCTCTGAAATGCTTAAGAAATACCTCTGAAATGCCTAAGAAATACCTCTGAAATGCTTCAGAAATATTTCTGAAATCATTCAGAAACATCTCTAAAATGCTTCAAAAATATCTCTAAAATGCTTCAAAAATATCTCTGAAATGTTTCGGAAATATCTCTGAAATGTTTCAGAAATATATGGGAAATATTTCAGATACTTCTTCTCATATCAAATTGTTCCAGATCACCCTGTATAGGGTGATCCGGAACAATTTCCTGTTCTTTATAAATCATATTCTTGATTATAGTCATGATTTTGCTTTGCCGGAGGCCTGCTTATATTAGATTCCAATTGAAATTTACTTGCGAGTTAGTCTTACCATTATGCGCTGCCTAGCGACGTCGTTGCATATTTCTCTGAAATGTTTCGTAATATTTTAGAAATATTTCAGTGAAAAGGGTCATAAATGATTTCGATGAAACGTTTTAGAAATACTTTTGAATGATTTCAATGTTACATTTCAATATTAATTTCCAAGTTATTTTTTGGAAAGCTTTCATTGATATATGATTTTGATGAAACGTTTCAAGATGACTTCTGAATAATTAGCAAAAGAATTATGTTTGACCCAACTGTCAAATTTTATTGTTCACAAAACGCTACGTTTCGACTGCAGATTTCGGTCCTTTCCAAGCGTAAAGAAACTCATAAATATTGTTAGTCAGACATAATGCCCAAATTACGCCGAATCTAAAAACTAAACATCAAAAATTGTGGCACGCAACAATATAAGTATAAGTCCAAAAATAATTATATAAATCAAAACTTACATATTTGTGCGTTAAATTCACAGAAGTAAAATACAATTTAAACGGCATTTTCGTTATTCGTTTATGTCGAAGGGCATGTAAGAGCCGTGCGGTGGTAAAAGTTTAACTGACGAGAGAACAGACAAGTAATAAACAAACCAACGACGTCAATATTAAAAGCCAGGGCGTGGAGAGGGAAACAGAGAAGGAGATAGAATTACGTTTCTTTTATATGTTCGTAGAGATGTAAAATTGCAATGCTACGTATATTGGGCAGACAAAAAGACATTTTTGCACACGTCTCAAAAAACACCAAAACGATATCAGAAAACCGACGAGTAAGCATTCAGGACCCCTATTCTGTAACTCGTAACGACAGTGTCGGTATCGTTACGTTGTCGTTGCGCAGGTATGGGGACGGCGAGATGACAAGCTCAGCGCAGAGGGCAGCACCGAAAATGGAGACGTGTCATAATGTTTACGTTTAATGAGTAGAGAGGTTTGGAGAATTTTTTAACATGCCGGGAATGTGTGTGTGGCATATGGATGTAAAAATAAGGGAGGGCATCGGTTCCCGAGGGACAAGATATGATGAAAAAACGATAGATCACTGCATATAAAACGCGAGGATTTATGTCCGAATACAAATTCGCTGTGCACAAACCACTTTAGACCTGAGGATTATATTACCACCCATACAGCACAGACTCTTGCAGAAAGCTTCCAGAAAGGTTTCAAAAACATTTCAACCTTTCACATTTCATGTGCAACATCTCTGAAAGAATTCTGCAATATGTCATATAAAATGTTGCAATAGAAATGTTTTTTAAACCTTTCACATGAAGATAATTTTTCAAAACTTTTAGTTGAGTTATCTCTGAATCGTTTCACATGAAATAATTTTATAAATCTTTTAGTTGAGCTGTTTCTAAAACCTTTCTCACGCAATAAATTTGAAAACGTTCAGTTGATTTATTTCTGAATTGTTTCATATGAAATGATTTTGTAAACCTTTCAGTTGAGCTGTTTCTGAAATCTTTCTCACGCAATAAATTTGTAAATTTTCAATTAAGTTAGTTCTGAATCGTTTTATATGAAATGATTTTGTAAACCTTTCACTTGAGCTGTTTTTAAAACCTTTCTCACGCAATAAATTTGAAAACTTTCAGTTGATTTATTTCTGAATTGTTTCATATGAAATGATTTTGTAAACCTTTCAGTTGAGCTGTTTCTGAAACCTTTCTCACGCAATGAAAATTTTTAATTAAGTTATTTCGGAAACATTTCATAAAATATAATTTTGCAAACTTTTCAGTTGAGTTTTCGATGAATACACATCTAGGACAAGTAAATATAGACGAATTTAGAAATTTTTAATTGCAGCCCTAAAAACCACACCCATCATATGTAGGGCTTTTTGCTTTTTTTAGATATAAATTATTAATATTATATTATGTAATGATATACAAATCTTTTATATTAACCCGTTGTGGTCACACCTCCTAAAAATAACGAGTGGTCACACGGGGTCCAATGGACCCCACAACAGTTGCCATTTGCGTTCTTTTTGATGTATCCACTCAAACCTTGAACTGGAATTTAGTTTATGACTTCCTCTTTATAATCCAATAATTTTAAAAATTTTTTTATGTTGAAAAAACGCGAGAAAAAATTTTTTTTTCGAGAAATTTGACTTTTTTTTACACAAATATTCATCAAAATTTTTTGAAATAGAGCAAAAAAACTTCCTACGTTTTACTCTCAAAATAGTATACTTTTAAGGGAAAAAAAACCTGGGGTCCACTGGACCCCATGTGACCACAACGGGTTAATATTTATAATATATCAATTGTTGTTGCGTTGTTTTTAATATTTGCCAGTTAATAAATAATTTCAAATTTTTGAACACTAAAGATGCTTATATACGATATGAACATAAGCTAGAAAGAATTAAGCATCAGAACCAGAGGATCGTCACTAGCCCGTTCGATCATGGAAGTCAAGCAACTTTGAGTGCGGTTACTACTTGGATGGGTGACCGCCCGAATAAAAAAAATACGGCAATGTATTTCGGAAACCTTTCAACGCTTTCTCAGAAATGTTTCAAGTGCGAGAATCGCGGACATTTTGCTATTCCAGACCTGTCTCAGAGATGTTGCAGAAACATTTTGAAATATTTATGACATGTTTCAACTAAATCAGATGAAACATTTTTTAAATATCTCTGAAAAGTTTCAGATATATTTTGGTAACCTTTCAGCACGGTTTCAGAAAGGTTTCAAGTGCAAGAATCGCGGACATTTTGCTATTCCAGAGATGTCTCAAAGCTGTTGCAGAAACATTTTGAAATATTTATGAGATGTTTCAACCTATCGAATGAAACATTTCTTAGATATTTCTGAAAGGTTCTTGTGCTGTATGGGCACCGGCTTTGAAAGTAGTGAGTTTACAATGAAATTAATAGACATATAATGAAACATATGTTTAGTCGCGAATTTGTATTCGGACATAAATCCTCGCGTTTTATAAGCAGTGATGATCCACCGTTTTTTCATCATCTTGTCCCTCGGGAACCAATGCTCTCCCTTATTTTTACATCTATATGCCACACACATTCCCGGCATGTTAAAAAATTCCGAAATATTTACGTTTATGTACACAAATTTTCTCGTTAACGATATGCTCGGTACTCGCGGTGAGGCATTTGCTAGCGCCTCTAGCGGCTAAGAGTGGCACGCCCCATCTATATGATCCCCATACTATATGGAAAAAAAGCTGCGCAACGACGACATAACGATACCGACACTGTCGTTAGAGTTACAGAATAGGGGTCCTGTAGTGCGTGAGCATCAAACATCCTGTGGGCATGATTTTGATTGGGGAAAACCAGAAATAATACATAAGGAGAGACAGATTAAAAAGTGGGAATTAGCGGAGATATTTTTTATTAAAAAATTTGATGACACCATTAATTTACAAAAGGACACGGAGAATCTTAACGCTCTCTACGAACATATCATAAAAGAAACGTAATTCTACCTCCTTCATGTAAGAACATGCCCTTCGACATAAACGAATAACAAAAATCCCGTTTAATTGTATTTTACTTCTGTGAATTTAACGCACAAATATGTAAGTTTTGATTTATATAATTGTTTTTGGACTTATACTTATATTGTGGCGTGCCACAATTTTTGATGTTTAGTTTTTAGATTCGGCGTAGTTTGGACATTATGTCTGACTAATAATATTTATGAGTTTCTATACGCTTGAAAAGGATCGAAATCTGCAGTCGAAACGTAGCGTTTTGTGAACAATAAAATTTGACAGTTGGGTCGAACATAATTTTTTTACTAATTGTTAATTATTCACTGGCGATTCAAGTTTTTACTTCTCCGTTTTTACTTCTGGAATAATTTTAATGTTACATTTCAATATTATTTTCCAAGTTATTCTTCGCAAGTTTCGCTTTCAATGATACGTATTTTAGACATTACGTACGAAATATTTCTCTGAAATGTTTCGTAATATTTCAGAAATATTTCAGTGAAAAGGGTCATAAATGATTTCGATGAAACGTTTCAGAAATATTCTGAATGACTTTAATGTTACATTTCAATATTAATTTCCAAGTTATCTTTTGAAAAGCTTTTAATGATATATTATTTTGATAAAACGTTTCAGAAATATTTTTGAATGATTTCAATTTTACATTTTAATATTAATTTCCAAGTTATCTTTCGGAAAGCTTTCTGTTGTGTAATGACGTACATGTTGTGCTGTGTGGACGATTTGGTTAAAACTTCACAATTTTGTGTATTTTGGTGCGTAAAACATGAATCATCTATAAGTTAAAATTGTTGCTCTCAATTAGGAAAAAAGTTATTAA